AAAGAATCTCTTTCTAAGAGGTGTTTACTCTTACAGGCAGTAAAAACCCAGAGGGAGGGTTTTTCCGCCACTGCTAGTGGAGAACAAGTGAGGCAGTTACTGAAAGCATATACCATAATAAAGAATTCTGAAACACCATTTAATATTTCTGTCTGGCTGAGTAATTAAATTAACACATTTTCAGCAATAAGTGATGTGAGATAGACTGTCAGTCATGCACAGCTGGGAGCCAGGACATCCATGTCTCTCAATTCCTAAGATAGTCATCTGAACTTGCAGCAAACTTTGGAAATCACTTTCAGTAGCTACCAACACTAGATCTCCTGGTGCTGTACTGCCATGCCCTGGTGCTCTATAGACATTCACACACCAGTTTTCAAGATATCACAACCTTGTGATATCTTGAAGTTTATTTAACATAAACTTGCATTGTCAGATGACAGCAAACTGCCATCCAGCTCCTCTCTCTTGACCATTGCCTAGGAGACTAAGTTCTATTGCTGAAATCAATTTGAGTTTTATGACTGGCCTCACTGGAGCCAAGATTTGGCTTAGTGTTTGGATGTAAGCAGCTAATGGTTTTTCTGACAACAGCTCGGAGCCGGTGTAAGTCAAAGCAGAAATATTTAATGCCTTGAGACTGGCAGAACATCCCATTCATACTCTTGGCTTACCTGACAAAAGGGGTTTCAGGTACTGATGCCTTCATTCCTGTTCAAACACCCTGCTTTCCCCCTTAAATAACAAGAATGCATAAGTGGAAGTCATCTCACTTCTTCAGAAAGCTGAGAACTGCAATCACCCACTAAAACTGGCCAACATACACTGAGCAAAGGGTTGCTCAAGGGAGCACCTGAACCTCTGAATGGGATACCATAGACACAGCCTAGTGCCTCCACTGTCACCCTCCATCACTCTGCCCTCCCTCTGCTCCCCTCACACCTCCATGACTCCTCACAACATGTGGCATTCTGCATCTCAGTTGTCTGAAGCTACCAGAGCTGCTGGGCTGGGTGGCATTTGGCCCTCAGTGTTCTCTCGCTGGCTGTTTCTCCCCTGCTGGAGCATCCCTTGGAGGCAGTGAGGACACCTCCTGCACTTCCTGCTGCTCATCCCCAAGCCACCAGCTTTGATCACTCAGGCAAGCATTAAGGCTGCCAGCTTCAAATCCATGTGGTTTCCAGTCCTTTCCCAACCTTAGCAAATGCTTTTGCCTAAGCAGTAGTGAAGTGGAGCATGGCAGGAGGCAGGCAGTTGGGAGAAGGGAAAGTCCCATGCAGGAGGTAAGGTTCATCCATCTACTGGCTGGACGGAGAAAGCAGAGGTTGCAGAACAAGTAATCCTGGGTGCCTTTGGCATTTTAAAAAGACTACATATATGACACAGTTTCTCCAGAAGTTCCCTTTAAATAGTAAAATTTCTGCCCATTTGTATTCACAGGTCTTACGATCCTATTTTTAAACAGTATGTAGGTGTTCACGAACAGCGGGTGTGAGACTGACAGCACTAGACCAGAGCTCTCCATTTGCAGAATAACTGCTGCATTGACTACTATGCTGCAAACTCCTGTAATGGAAATACCAAGGACTGAGAGGGTCTTCCCATCCCTGGTCTTATTTTGCCTTTGTCCTTGCAGCTGAAGCTGCCTCAAAGGGAACCAGCAACTAAGATGGGCTGTGGATGTGTGTGTGTGTTCACATGCGTGTTCAAACACTTGCTAGAACAGACACAAGATTATTAATCTTTCCAGACAGTAATTACTTTTAAGCCTCAGCAATTAACTTGGATTTTGTACTCCATTGCCATAGAAGTAGCTTTTCACATGATGCTTTGAGTTCTCTCAGATATTCTTAACAAACACATTTAGGTCTCCTTTTTTATTTGCTAACTTTTTGTTCTTAAATATAAACAGCTCAGTCTCAGGTACTTGTACCCAACTTTGGAAATATCAAAGGTTCTTACCAGTTTTCAGAGAACACCCTGAAGTACACTGTTGTGCATAGCAGGGGTAGCTTCTAATGCATCAAACCATTATTTAGCAGGTGATTCTGCAATTGAGAACAATTATGTTAGGCTTCTGATCCTTTCTCCCACCCCAGCTCAGTCAGAAACATCTTCTGAAAAAACTCCATGGCAAAATCCCTCTGACCATTTAAAAAGCTGCCTTGTATTCCTTACCTGTCCCCTGAGCCATCTGTTCTACACATTACACAGTCAGGAGCAGAGCCAATACCAACACCTTCCCTTTCTTGAGGCATGCCAGATATATTACTGAATTAAGGGAGTTCCTATATTTCCCTCCAAGACTATAGGCATGCATTTTACAGCTATTTCTCTGAACCCCCCAGTCCTCATATGTTAATGTGCTTTGGCTTTTGGTTCAAGTTATTAGGAAGGAATCTTCTTGAGCCTTAATTTTATTTCTTTGCTCCCTTTCAATAATTTAGGGTCAAGTTATAATTTTCTCTTACTGTCTCTAGGCTTCTGTAGAGAAGAGCAAAATTCTTTTAATTTTTATCATTTCCTGCCCCCTCCCCGAGCTCACTGGAATGGTTTTGTTAATGTGCTGTGCTTGTATGCTCAGCCCTCTGATAACTGTCTAAAGAGTTGCTTTTTCCTTACAAAATTAGAAGCGGATCAAAGCATCATGCCAGTTCTGGATGCTAGAGAAAGCATAGGCAGAAGCTGCCTGACACAGAGTTCCTCTGAAGGTAACATCTCTGTGCCACATCAGAGGTGCCATGGTCAGGCGAGGAAAATGGGAAGAGACCAGTGCTTGGCCTTGTCTTCCCATGCTCCAGCTGGGAAATCTGATTTCTGATCTTTGTTGGCTTTCACAGTATTAGAAATATCTGTTATACAGACAGAAATTCTGTTATAGAATGAATATAAATGCTGTTATGCAAAAAGATCAGGCCCAAGGCTCTTAAGTAGCTAGGAGCCCAAAGACTAGATTTGGGATGATCCAAGGCCTGCCCTTGCAGAGAAACTGCATGCAAAACAGCAACATAGCCTCCTGCTGTGAGGTCATCTAAGGCTTCTTGTGAGCACTCCAGATTTTATGGTGGGATCTTTTGTGACGAGGTTCAGCCCTGCCTTCCTTCTGTTCATTTTTTTAAAGTACTTTTGCAGTAGTCAGTTCTCTGAAGTGCCGTTCTCTTTCCTTTGAATTGACTGAGAATCTGGGTTAAAGTGACTGACTGATGTGACAACAAAGGAGCGAATGTCATCAGGTCCAAAGGATTTGATATGCTGTTGGTTATAAAATGTACTCGGACAGCCCAAGTTCTGTGCCAGATTAATATTTGATGTCATGGGACTTGACTGGCTGTAGCTGAAAGAGCTGGGACCATTGTTGGGAAAATGGCCATCTCCCTTTCAGGGGAAAGTTAGGACTCATAGGAGCTGACAGCCTGACAGTCTGATCTTCCATCTACCCATAAGCACCAGTCAGAGTGAGCAGTAACAATGCAAGTTTCCTCATATTTAATTCACTAATAGGTCAAATTGTCTTTGTAACCCCCAAGTATTGTGCGTACTTTCTATTATCAGCCAGAACTTTCCTTCTTCCAACAGTTTAGAGAGTATCAGTGCATGGTTCCACTTGACACTAGTTACTCCCTCTCTCTTTCTTCCCCCTCCCAGCCATCCCCACCTCTCCTAGTGCCTGTGGCAGCAGTGAATTATTAAAGAAATATGGATATTGATCTAGTACCGATATCCAACTGTGACAGACAAAAACTCTCTAACAGTTTAAAGTTAGAAAGTGTGTGTTTATTGTGACACTGGGCAGCGTGCGGGATCGCTCCCATATACACACCACACCTTCCAGGTGATTACAGAGTCTTTTTATCCATACAAGTATTGAATACCCAAAATACAAATACATAGTCATCATTTTGGTACGTCCCATTCCTCGTTTTGTATGCTAATCACTTCAAAAGCTATTAAGCATGTGTGGTTTGTTCCTTGAAATGGGTTGGTGGTCCCTTTCATGGGGACAGGTCCCAAAATGAGGAAGTAAATGAAGTCTTCCTCATTCTGACCTTTCTACCTTTTCAATCAAATATGACAAATGAACTCTTGGTAGAACTCCCATTCCTTGTCTTCAACTGGTTTCAGACCAGAGGAGGCCCACAATTGTCTTATGTTCCTAAAAGCTATTTCTCAGTTTCTATATTCTTCATTATAAACCCAGCTAACTAAACATTGTGTTGACAAAGTAATCAATTATTAGTTAACTACTAACTCTTAACTTCATCAAGGCCTACTCATTTATTTTACTTAACTCTAGTAAGTGTTATCTCTAACTAAAATCCTAGCTCCTCTAAAATCTCTAAATTCCTTAAAGTTTATGTTTCAGCAGCAGTAGCCTGCTTTCTCTGGGCAAGACACCACCACCACCAGTACCCTCCTGCCTGTTCAGTCATGGTCACAGCAGCAGTGACCCATAGAGCAGCTGAAGGGAAGCTGGAAGGGTTCATGCCCTGCTGGTGTAAGGGCCCCAAAGCAGGCTCTGTGGAGAGGATCCCAAGCCAGCATCCACACTCAGCACCTGCCTTTCAACACCAGGAGGATTCTGGCTTGATGCCTTGCAGCAGTGTGCTGGGCAGCACATGGTGGAGTGCAGGGAGGGTCACACAGGAGGACAGAATTTTCTGCAAGTAACAGTCATGTATTTGCTACCATTATTTGTTAAGAGTCTTAAAAACAGCACCCAGGATGCCGGTGTGGAACTTTGGCCCTATTTCTGTATGTGTGAGGCCCCCCTACATAGTCCATGCAGCTGCATAGTAGTCCAATATGCTCAGAAATCCTAAACTCTCTCACATAAGGAAAAAATTATTTTGGGCATCAAGGCTTTCCCAAAATGGCCCTGTTTTGTCTGTTTGCTGATCCTTAACTTATCCAAAATCTCTCTCAGCTAATGAGGACCACATGCCAGTCACACTTCATTTATAAAGGGGGGGGGGGTGTGAAAGGAAGTTGGTGTTGTGGCATATAGATATTAAAACAATAAATCAAATAAAACTTGGCATTGTAAATGGAAATCAATGGACTGCAAAATTGTATTTGTTCTAGCTGAAGAGAGTACTTGCCGAGTTCCAAGCTGTTTGTCCCTTTCTGAGGAGAGATGGGGTCTGCTCCTTTTGTACTGTAAATGCAAGGCTGTTGTCAAGTGAGACTTGAACTTTTCCACCTGCAAAACAGTTTATGCATACAAGCAAAAATTAATCTCACAACACCCCATGAGACACAAATCTTGGGCCCTTATTTAAAAAGGGAATGAAGGGAGACTGGGTATTTTGTCTGAAGTCATGAATCTCTGTTAGAAGTGAAATGCTTGGCTTCTGGTGTTATACTGAGAAATTCCAACTATGTCCCTCTTAAAATTCTTTCAGTATCTACGAACTGCAGGCAACATAATGTCTGAACAGTAATAATTCATGATAAAGCACTGTAACTCCATGTGACCTTGTCTAGCTGTAACTTTCAGCTCAGGAAACCTGAAGGTGTCACAGGGACAGTGTTGCTTTTCATCTGCACTACACTCAACTGCTGCTTTTCTGAAATTCTGAATCTTGATCTTTTATAAATCCTAAGAAATTTATATATGACCTAAAACTCTGCTCAACTAAAATATTTATATATTACCTCACAAAACACAAAAAATATTCCTATTATGAACAGCCCATTATCACCAACTTATCTATGACATCTGCTTTTTGTCTTTTCCCCTATTCTGTTAATAATGACGATTGTTTATATTAGACACAGAAACAAATAGCATTTCTTATGCTTTCTCATTGACTCTAAGTGCATGTAATTACCATATAAAACCTACATTTTTCTAAGGAATTTTATCAGACTGACTTGCATTGGGCAAAATCTTTCCAAAACTGTTTTTCCAGGATTTTATGTGTACAGTCCTGAGAACTGAAGATTTAATTTCATTTCCAAAGATTGTGGTGTTTGAAATTCTTCACCTTGAGGATGGGAAGTCAATCAAATGAACCTTGCAAGGATGAAGGAAGTTGCTTTCAGGCTTGAGAGGGTAGAACTGGGTAGGAAGTTTGGCAACCAAACTAAGACCTGACAACAAGGTAAAAAAAAAGCTGAAAAGAGAAGACAATTGTTAATGATCACATCTTTTTCTTTGAAGTCTGAGTAGATGATGCTGGAGATTAGAACAAGGCAGTAAAAGATTATTAGGACAAAGAACCTGGAATTTGCAACTTTTAGCACCATGGCTGGTGCTCTGCAGGAGAAGTCTCTTCGTGCCACCAACCAGGACTGCCCTACCAAAGAGTTGTATCTTCTAAAACCGTTCTCAAAAAATTTTAACTGTATAGAGTATGCTATGCAAAGTACTTATCAAAAAATAGATACCAGCTCTGTCCTTGATATTAAATAGGATCATTTGTATTACTGCAATCAAATATATAAAAAAAAACATTCATTATGAATGTGAATTTACATCCCTTCAGTTGTAGAAATGATCAGAAGAATATCTCATTTAAAATTAGCATTCTTTAAGTAAGGCTTAAAAATTGAATTGATTGGAGAATAATAGCCTATCCAACTCTTTGCTGCCTTCAACTGTCTTTAAAATAAGAACTTTTTCTTAAGAAATATATAAACCATTATTATTTTCAGCCCATATCAGTTATGCAGCCTTGATCATTTTGGGGTGAGAGTTATTTTGGGTTGGTTCCACTGGGATGAGAATGCTGATGGAGTTGGTAATTCCTTATATCAAAGCTCTTGATTAACACTGAATGCACAAAGCTCTTTGTCCTTGAACTTTTAAAACCAAGGCCAAACCAGAAAGAAGAAGCTTTGTTTGCAATTCTATGCATCTTTCTTGAAAGCACTGTGCCCAAAATCCCGCCTCAGATTTTGTTTGGGGTCATACTGCTGATACCTCCTCTAGCTACACCTGAGCCTGCTTGGCTCTCTTGTATTTCTGCCTGTCTTGTACCCTCCAAGGAAATTGCTGCCTTTAAGCTGATCTCTGCCTGAGTGAGTAGATCAGTCACTAGCAAAGCCACCTTGCTGCTGGGTTCACATTCCTGAAGAACCTGACAGGGAGCCTGCCCACCTCCAATTTTTTCAGTGATCTGTTGAGACAAAATATGGTTAACATCCTAAACCCAACCATCACTGTTGTCAGTGCTGTCCCACCACTACTGCCACTTCCCAGGACTCTGGACAGAGAGCTCCAGTATCATCCAGCCCAGAACCAGGGCTTCTGCACAGTTTATGCACCCCTTTGGTATTTCCATACATAGCTTCTCAGAACAAGAAGTATTAAGCCATGGGAACTATTTAGGGCTTGGCTTTGCCAAGCTCTAAATATGCTCCTTCTATCCTTATGACTTTGAACTAATGTTATTTGTGATGGCTTTTTGTCTATCTGCAACTTCTTGCTATTCTCAGCTAGATATTGCACTGGAAGTGCTGTTTAATAGGAGCCTACCCAAGGCTCCTGGGTGCCATTGTGCCCAGATGCCTTCTTCCAGGAACTCCAGCACTCCTCTACACTGCCACCCTTGCACCATGCTGCCCAGGCTGGGGACAAAGCTTTCAACTGCCCTATGGACAAAAAAAAGGAATTCCTTTTCTTCTTCAGAGGCTACATAGAGGGAAATACGTGTTATTATGGTACAGGAGAAGGCTATTTGCAATGAATGGACAAGCTCTGTCAGTCAGCATAAAATGTTCATAGACTGGATGCTGAAACCAAGGCAGATTATTTCTAGGAGAACATAGTCCTTTATTTGGTGGGGTCTTTATCCAGTTTCTTGTCTGCTAGCAAACTAACTTCCTCATATTTCAGAGGAAATGTGCTGAATGGCAGATCACAGGCCAGTCACTCGACTGATGCCAGCGGACATCTGTGCATTTAACCAAACCAAGTGATCTTTGGCCCTAGCAGAAGCAAAAGTCAAGCATATGTACACAATATATATGCACACAGAAAGCAGCCAAAAAACCTCCACAACCAAACCCAGGCCCAACGACTTCAAAGATTATAAGTAACTAAGCAGAACAAAGGTCTGTCCCTAAATGCTAAAGATCAACATAAGGGCTTTTTTATGGCTGATAACATAGCATGCCCCACTGTTAAGGACTTTTTATAGCTGAACAAAACTTGACAATCAGTTTTTATGTAGCATATCTCGTAAAAAACCGGGAAAGTACTCTGCTAAGAAGGTCAATATTGTTATCTCTGTTCCTCAGAAAGCTGAGCAGCAGAGAGGAGGTAAAGGTGCCTAAGGAGCCTTATTTAGAAGACTGTAGGAGTCCAAAAGTCTTCTCCATTCAAAAGTCAGAAGTATGAAAGGGCCAACTGTGTTTTACTTAGGTGCTTACACACAGACTACCCTGTTTACAGCAGGAATGTTTCCCAAACACTGCCAACACGAATTCAACTCCAGCGACAGTGCCGGGAGTGCCTGTGGCAGCAGGGCCACCCCTGGGCCAGGGGACAGGCAGACACGAGGGGGACAGGCAGACACGAGGGGCACAGGCAGACACGAGGGGCACAGGCAGACACGAGGGGGACAGGCAGACACAAACTCCTGCACCGTCAGCTGGAGTATGAAATTACAGCACTTCAGCCTGCCCGGCCACCGCTGCCACGGCCAGGCTGCTCGCCCTTCAGGGAAGTCCTGTGACCCCTCTGGCACAGGGGGACGGGGCAGGGGGAAGGACAGGCTAGGGAGAAAGCCAGGAGGGGGGATTTACTGAATCCGTCACTGCTCTGCCATCGCAGGTGCTGCACCCTCCCTGTGCTGCCAGAACTCCGCGCTCCCGGAGCTGGGACCCTGCAGGGCAGCCCCAGGGACGGTCTCCTGGCCCCACGGTCACGCTCCTGACTGCTGGGAGGCAGATCAATGACATGGCCACATTTACTGTTGCATTTAACATGAAATGTGCTAAATGCCACTGGCCTGGCCCTTTGGTTTCTTACACAGCACCAGGGAGTGGAAGGAAAACCTCTCGCCACAGAGTTCAGAGTTCTTCACCAAGGAGAGACACCTGGATCACTCTCCCTTTCCTTCTATGTGTGCAGGAAAAAACACCCTTCTCAGGATAACTTATTAACCCAATTACCTTCCATTCCTTATCTCATTATGCTTGTAAATCACACCGACAAGCTTTTGGCAAGACTTTCATAGCCCTGCAAAGGTCCTCCACATGAATTTTCAGACTCAGTGGAGACCTGCCAGTGCCCATTCCTTTACTTGACCAAGCAGCCTCAGCAAGGGAAGCTGTGGTGCAAGGCTCTTCTGTAAGGCTGCTCCATTTGCCTCTGGTTTGCCCTGAATGAAACATGATCTTCAGTTTCCACATTTAAATCCCAGCAACATCCTCTGCAGCCTGTTGGTCAGTCTGCCTTTCAGCTCAGCGTGGGAAAAAGCTAGGAGCAGTCAGTCTGCCAGTAAGGATGAATATAGCAGACTATGCATCTATATGTTGTCATGGAGATGCCATGGGATTCATCTGAGGGTTTTGCTGGTTGGGTTTCTTCTGCATCACACATTTGTACAGAAATTAGGTTTTGACAAAAATACAGTATCCAAAGTTTTCCAAAGCATAAGTGGAACATAGATCTGTGTCAGAGCAGATCAGGTCACCTTACTCATGATGACTTGCATAGGCCTTAATTTTTTATTTTCCACTTAAATTGCTCCTGATTTCATATCCACATAACATCACAGAGTTCAGAGAATTGAACTAGTCAAAAATAATCGAGGGGAAAAAGAAGGAGGCCATATGTTTTAAAAGCAACCATTTCCAAATGCAAGATGACAGAATAAAATAGTCTTCTGTAAATACAGTGGGACTCAAAATACCAGTCAAGGATTTGTTCTTAATATTTAACCCGAGACATCTGCAACCTCCATTCTTTTCCAGCTTTACATGATTTTTTAAAGATAAGCAATTTTACTGCATGTGTCCATCTTATATTTTTACCTACTAAGTCTCAAGCATTTAATAAACATTATTTTCAGTTAAACAGGGCTGTTAATTTTTAATCTTTTAAAAAGAGAAGGAATTAATCCATTTCCAAATTGCTCCTTGTCCATAAAAGAAAAATCACATGGCCCTCAGAAATTCCACTCGAAACAGTGCAGGAAATGCCTGCAATCAAACAGGCTAAGGACCTAGCAGCTAATTGGGTAATCAGAAGCAAACCTAAAGAGCCACCATCAGCTCACAACCTCCAGACCATCTTCAATCTGAGCTTTTTTTAAAAAGTACCACCTCAGTCTTTCCACATAATATCCTTATGGTATAGCCTTTTCTATCTAACCACACAGTTAAACCTCTCACCTATCCAAGCTCTCATCTAACTGCACTAGATTACTTTTAATTGTACTTGGAAGTGGCAGTCTGCTGCTGGCCTCCTTCTAAAGTTATTCAGATTTGAGATTACTGTAGAGAACCTGCTGCATTTTCATGCCTCAGCTAGTGCAGATCCACTGACTGAGAAAAGCTCCCTTGTGTCTGTTGACATGAATAATCCCTAACATTTTTAATATAGGCTGCCTTTGCCAGTTGGCTGACACTTGTGCTATGCCATGAATAAAAGCTATTTGATGACAGTTGAGAAATGGACATGAGACACTTGCTGCTGTATTTCCTCTGCCCTCTGGGAGCTGGTCCCTATTATTTGTCATGTGCAGGAATGTAAAGTTGTTAAAGGTGACTTGGATGCAGCCACTGATGATGTGCTAGTGCAAAATGATGTAGAAGTGAGACTCCAAACCTCTTCTAATAGGCTGCTTCTTATGTCCCTCATATGTCATTGCCACCTATAGGAAGTTTCAGTCACTCTAAGTTTAAATAACATTCATTTTTATGCATTTACCTCATTGGATAATTCAAAATGTGCCTTCACATCAAGAGAACAGATTCCTCATTTGCCAGCTGGAGAAAGTTCTTTGTGTGGCATATAAGCAGTGGGATTTATAACACATGGTTACTTACCAGCAACTGCTGTTCTTCAAAAGACCCTCGTGTGTTTGTATCTGTGGGGTGTGCACTGTAGGAGAACCACAAATTCCTGGTGTGAAGAACATGCACTTCAGGAAAACCATGTGGGACAGCAGCTCAAATCACTCTGCATGGGGGCATGTGTTGTGTTAGTGCTAGCAAGGAAGAAAAAGGGATTTAAGGTAGAGTTGACAGAAGAAGAAAGTGTTTGGTTAACAGAAAATGGGAGATGGATTGAGGTGTCTGAGGACTATGAAGAAAAAAAGCAAGACTGAACCATCCAAGAACAAGATAAAATGAGTAGAAAGAGAGATGACTGGGAGGATAGGAGGAGGAGTGGGAGGAATGAGATTAAAGGCAAAGTAACTTAAAGAGGACCTTAAGGGAAAGATAAGGAGATTTACATGGAGGCTGAGAGAGACATGAAATCAGTGGAATCTGAGAGATGGGCTGGTGTGTCACAGCTGGGGGATTTTTAGCAGGAGACTTCTGAGCAAACAGGGAAAGAAAGTCAGAGGAAAGCATGGGAAGGACAGACTGTTGCAGCACAGGCATCTTTTGCAAGGATAAGAGTCTTTTGAAGATGGACAGTAAGAGAAAGGTAGATTCAAATATGATTTAATACATCCCCATACTTAAAAGACAAAGCTTACAGATAACCCACTAAAGCCCTTTTATTACCAGAAAACCCCAACAGACACCACCAAGTTTAAAGGTCTGTCAGAAAGAGGCAGCGCATGCTATACACAGCAGGAAAAAGTCCTTTAAAATATGGTGAGTGGCCTGCAAAAAAATCAACAAGGGCTTCTGTCCTCAAACAGAGCATTCACTTGATTCTGTTCCAAACTGATCCTTGCCCTAGGTTTTGCCCTCACTCAATAGTGATATTAAGCAGATTTACAGGTTAGTCAAAGTTTTCTCTCCACACATATCCTTACCAGAGTTTTCTCTGCAAACTTGAGCCAGCTGGGAAAGGTGCTGCCCTCTCCCCTGATTTCAGATCAGAGCTGAAGCTGACAAAACGCACCTGCCATAAGGACTCACCAGTAACAACCCTGCACCTTCCATATAAAGTTTCAAGCACCTGGTGCTAGTGTGACACTGGTGAGCTCTGCAGAGCACTGAGCTCTTGCAGGCACCCAAGGAGGGATGAGGTGGCCATGCTTCATGGAGGCCTTGTGCTCTCCAGCAAAATGGCCAAGACAAGGAACTGCACACAACCTGCTGAAGCTGCATGAGAAAAATTGGAAGGTGGAGGGAATTCTTTTCTGCCAGGAAGAGGGAAGACATGGTGTGCATCCATAGAGAGTGTCCTGGGGTTATAAGGCGAGACATGGTGGCACAATGATGGAATAATTTCCAGATGATCTGTCGAGCAGAAGATGCTTTGGAAAGCTCTTTTAGTCAGATCAGCTTTTGGGATGTGGGACTAACAGCAATAGGCCATAATAACTATTTTTTAAATCTCACTTCAAGCACAGTTTTCTCCTGATTATCACTAGAGCACATTTCTAGCACAATATATCTTGGTTGTATCTGAAGTTAGCTCTAGGCAAAGATGTTAAAAACAGCATAGCGTTTTGCTCTTGCAAAGGAGAAATCTCACAATTAGGCCATCTGCTACTTTGCACACCAGTGACAGCTCGGCCTCTTATTTGCAGATAGAACCAGGGCTGGCAATTAAATAGCAGCCCGTCCTCCCAGCCCTCCTCCAACCTCAACAGCTCTGCCCCTGTGCCACAGCTCCTCTCGTGCATCACCCACCAAAAATGTCCTTGTTCACCTGAAAAAGGATGAGCTGCCATGCTCCTCTGCCAGGTCCCTCTCATTTGGCTCTGGCCTTGAGTCACAGCTCTAGCTGGGGTAGGCTAATGCCAATGTTCCTGAGGATGAAGCTGCAGCTCCTTGATGGCAGGATACTACTTCTCAGATCATGTCAAGTCAGAAGGGAGCTGTCTCTGCAGCTGGTGTGACTGCTTTCATGTAGCTTGAGCCTCCTCAAGACAAATCTTCTGTTTCAAAGCCGACTGAGAAAATAACAGAGGCCACACCAATTTCAGCTTTCCTGCAGGCAGGGAGAGTCTTATTGTACTCTGTCCCTACAAGTAACTGCACCCCAGCATAGAGGAATCCACCCCAACCCACAACACAGTGGTCAGCTGTGATGGTGTGGAGCTCAGCACTGCTGGGCACCTTGGCACCTCCATCTAACTCAGCTTCTCCCAGAGCCAAATCCACAGTTTTGCAGCACATCACAGTGCCCTAGGCAAAGAGGCCACTAACTTTTTCTCCCATGTGCTCCATGCACAGCCCTGGCACCCTGGCATGGAGACTGCAGCAGCTGTGTTCTCCCCTTCCATTGCCAGCCTGTCCCCTCGCCCTTGCTGCACTCATCAGGAATCCTCCCTTCTGAAGAAGACACCTCTCTTCAGTGGGCTGCTGGCAGATAATCTGCCTGACTCATAATGGCTTGCTTTCTTTTAAGGAAGATGGATATCTCTGAAGCTGGTGATTTCTGTCTCTCAAATTCATCATCCTGTGCTTGCTGCGGTATCAGCAGCAGAGTTCCTACAGCACAGCAGCTGGATGCAGGGGCAGGCACAAAAACATGCTGCACATGCTTTGTAAGGCACAGAGACCCAGAGCAACGCCGTGCTCCTGATCAGATCCCATCCTTTGCCTTCTTTCAGCACATCAAACTGTGCACATCAAGGTGTGTTTTCAGCAGGACCGAAAAACCCAGAAACGAAACGGCAGACCTGGGGCTTAGCTTCACACTTACTTTTCTTCTGACAGTTTTGTATAAAGCTAAATATTCATGTAATCAGCACGTGTTTCTTTAAGGGAGCTTGTTCTCGTAGTGCTAATCCGGACTGAATGGCCAAGCACCCGGAATTTTGCTGGTGGTGCTGGATGAATTCACCTGCGGGGCACCTGATCAGTGCAAAGGTCCCTGCACTATCCCAGCGAAGAAACGGGGATTCCTCAGCTCAGCTCGGCGAGCTACATTTCCCCTCGCGGAGTTGCAGAGCTTCCCGGCTTGGGCAGACATTTGGAGCGGGAGGAGGTCTCGATGGAGACGATGCTGGCGGCGGGGAGGAGGACGCGCTCCCGCTGCCAGGCAACCGGAGCTGCAGCGCCCGTGCCAGTGGCTGCGAGCGCCTCTGCAGAGGCAGGGCTGCGGGAGGAGCGGCCAGCCGGGGCTGCTGGGGGCCCCGGCACCCCAGGGAACCGCGGCTGCTCCCTGGCCATCCTCCAGAAGCACAGTGGGAGATGGTGCTGTGCCCCCTTCCCTGCCCGCTGCGCCGAAGGAGCCTCTCCGCCTTTCCGCCCTGCCTCCAGCCAGCGCTGCTCGGGGGATGTGCCCTTGCAGTGCGGAGCCAGGGGCGCAAACACCTTGCTGCTGTTGGCAAGGCGGTGCTGTGGGGCCCGAGGTGGGGGTCTGCAGAGCCCCGAGCCCTCCCTCAGCACTTATCTTCAGGTGCTGGGGGGGTTCCATTCATCCGTTCTGCAGCCAGCTCTCTACTCGTTCCCGTTCAGCCCTCTCCATCCTCTGGCACAGCCTCGCTGCAGGGTTGGCACAACTCGGGTGGCTCCATCACTCGCCAAATTTTCACTGTAAAACTGTGCCCCGAAGAAACAAGCCCCTTCTCATCATCCTCTCTGCTGCATCTTCAGCCATCCTGGCAGGGGTAAAAGGTGGGGAGGGAAGAGGGACCCGGAGTGGTGTTGGTACCAGCATGGAGAGGCAGTGCTGCTGCTGTTCTGGATGATGAGCTCCGGAGGGAAGTCCTGTACTCTCTCTACTCTTAGCCTGGGTCATGAATTTCTTTTCCCAAGCCCTGCTGCAATCTGCCAAACATAGTTTGTCAGCTGAGGATACAATAGATTTTACCCATGACAGATATGCACACACACACATATATATGCATGAAAAGTTCATTCAGTGGGATTAGGCAAATTTACCAGAGCATGTGCAAAACAGTGGTGCCATCCGCTGAAAGCATACCCTTTGCTTGCTCATTTTGATAAATGATTTTGATTTCTTCCAGTCTCTCACTCCAGGAATATTATTGTGGAGACAACATGGAGATCTGTGTACTAATTGTTTCAAGAAATTTTCATGTAGTGATAGGCCTTTAAGATGTTACATTCCCTGGGGTAATTTTTATTCAGATTTTCATTTAATTTTTATTCTACTGTTTAAGGGCAGATACTTGGAATGCTGAGGAACATATCTTGTTCCATCACGCTTGACCCTTCATGGGCAGGCTTTGGCCACAAGTCCAGTGGGAAAGACATAACTTATGCAGAGCCATGCAGATGACACGTACTCTTGCCACTTCGCACAGCTTAAACCCTAGAAACAGCAAGGTGAGGTGAGAGAGGCTGAAGAGAAAGGCAAGATCAGATAGTTTATTGCGGCTCCCCCCTATTGTAGACACAGATCTCAATGGATGAAGTGTTTTCTGCAGGAGTTTGAAGCCAGGGGACAGGAACTGTGTCCCCTCTGGATCCAAGGAGCAATTCATTGCAGGGTGGTGGCTCGACCCCGGGTACAGCGAGCAGCAGTGCAACAGCACTAGCAAAGGACCATTCACAAGCTGCATGTGTTCCTGAGGCTTCTTCCCCTTTTCCCCTCTGCTCCTGGGGTGTGCTGGTAGCGAGGCAGGTGCCACGGCTCCCCAGTGCAGGTGGCAGCAGATGGAGAGCTCTCCCCCAGTGCCATGGTGCCAGTGACCAAGCCTCGCTGGCCTGAGCAGCCCGGGCTGGGAAGCAGGCTCAGCTCAGCCGTGCGCAGTGCTGCCTGATGATTCACTCCAGCTCGCTTCTCATTCCCTTGGGAACGCAGAAGGGAGCCAGGGAGCAGAGCAGCACCCTGCAGACACAGTTCCCCTGTGCATAATCTTAGCTTTCCAAGTCAGCCTATGTCCTTACTTAAGGGGAGGACGGAAAACCTGTCAGAATAAACACCAGAAATGATGATTGTTGTGAAGTACAAAGCGAGGATTTAGCCTACTGCCCCCAGCTCTCGTCAGTCCTAATAGGAGGTGAGGGGTGAGCTTGAGGGCTGTCCCACTAACTGGGCAAAGTGGTGATGCAGAGTACTATCAGTAGGCCACTGGGCTGGCTTGGAAATAGTTTCTTTAACAGAGTAAAAATACCTGACTTTGACAGCCAGCATGCTGGTTTGTGTATGCATAATTTGCTGTGATCATGCTATAAATCAAGATGAGACTGCTAAAATTATGTATGACCTCATTTGATAGATTATCTAATAAGAAATTTGCTAATGCAGTTTATCTCTTAAAAAGCCATACGACTGCTAAGGATGAGTACTTTACTGCAGCACATTTAAACCTAATTGTCAGAGGAGAAAAGCAAGCGGATTTCAGAGGTGAGTTAGAAGAGCATCCTTATGAGGATGATGTCTTCACTAAATCAGTGGTGCAATGCAGCAAGCAGGGTGGAAAGGAGTCTCCTCTGGATAAAGGTACAGAAAGCTGCTAGACAAGGCTGTGCTGTGTGAGAATACTGCATGGACTCACTCATCAGTAGTATATGTAAATAGTTGTATCCTAACTGGCATGCTTGCTTTTATTGTTTAATCTAGTGTTATCTTTTAATTTTTTCTGACATTTCAGTTCTGTTTCACTGTCTTGCAAGCAGATCTAAAATCCCCGATATGTGCAAAGAAACTACTAGCCTAGACCTCTAGCTCTAACTTGCTATTCTGGTTATGATGCCTGTCAGAATAAAAAGGGTAATTGTTTTGCTGCTATATGTTACCATCAAATATTTTTGTTCTTCCAGTCCTGTGACTCATTTAAAAAGACTGAACATCACTTTGATGTATACAAACAGAACTAGAAAGCAGCTCAAGCCAATGAAATAAAGCTTGTTTTGCAGGTTTGTTAATCACTTATTCTGTTCCAGTCTTAAATTTATGATTAATATGATTAAAATATAAATACTGTTTTCTTTAGTGATGTTTTTCTAAAGCTCATTCTGGGTCTAAATGCCTGTATATACTGCCTGGATGTATGATACTGTTCAAAGCCTCTGAGATAAACATTAAACCTCCTCACAACTCTGTGTGTGTGTGTGTGGAGGGGGAGGTGTTAGAGAAGTGATGATTTTGAACTCCATTTTAGGATTGGGAAAAATGAGGTGGAAACATGAAAGGGCTTATAAAGGGCCACACAGAAAATGATTATCAGAGCCAAGGCTAAATCTCTGACTTCCCTGGTCCCCATCTCATTTCCTGACTGCCTGGAGCAAAACTTGCAAATGTCCCCTTTCTACGCCCCCTGCACCTTGAGCAAGTCCTGCCTCATTTGTACCCTGCCCAAAAAGGGGAGTTTGTTCACCTCCAGGGAAAATTATTCATTATGGCAGAAATGGGGAAATTGGATGTTACTGTACAGAAAATGTGACCATTGGCACAAGAAGGCAGGAAGTAATTTTACTTCAGTAATTTACAACAGTAGGTGATACATCCACATTGATTTAGGTGTGTGACTAATGATTTGGGATTGTAGAGGAGCTACTGGTGTGACAATAAAAGCAAAGATAACAGTAAAACACTGTAAATTCCAGGGCCTGGGATCAAGAAGCTGAAGAAAGATATTTTGGTAGAGGCATAAATTAGATTCAGGCAGGGGCACTTCCCATGGCATTTGCATAGGAGGCCCATCTGAATATGATGATGCCTGTATTGATGATGTAGTGCCATTTGAGCAGCTGGAACTGTCTCTGAGAGACCTGGAGCCTGTGTTTCTTTGTGAACACACAAAGCTGTGTGTATACATCTGACTGGAGTGATTTATTTACAAAAGAGAAAAACACAAAGGATTGGCAATGTCATCTGCTCATTAAATGGCCCAGCTCTGAAGGGGAGAAGGCACTTGAGGGGTAACAGCATAGTTCACCTTTTGTGCCTTTCCTGACTGACATTAATTGATACAAGATGAACTAGTGAATTTTACATTGAGGACATATTTCTACGAGAAGCTGGACTCAGAGCATCTGCTCACTCACCCTAGACTGTCAAATAATGCCCTGATTTTAATGTTTGGTCACAGCTGATACGCTTTAAGACAAAGTTTCATCATAAAGCTTTCATTAGTCATTCCTTGAGTCATCCTGTTTCATGAGCTCTTACCCCTACCAAGATAAAAATCTAGCTATCAGTAACAATTCTCAGAGACCTACCAGTCAGTGATTCTGTGATGCAACCTGTAGCAGCCAGGCAGAATTTACTCCTCCATATTTCATCTCCTGCCAGCCATCAGCAAGGCAAAGTAAAAACAGCTGCTCTGAGCCCACATTATTGCAGTGAGATTCCAAGGGAGAGATGCTGAACCTCATTTAAAACCAAGGGAGAACCAAGAGAAGAAATAAAAGTCCTAAGCCTGTACCCTTGAAGCAGAATATTTTTTTTCCTCAATACACATCTATTCAAAATAAATCCTTACCATGCCTGCTGGGCAGTAAACCTTGCCATTTAGCTGCATAAACTGTACTTGGCCATATGGTTAGCAATGCACCATGACAAGAGACATATCATAAAAATAGTACTGGTAGAAATATTCTTCAAACACCACTTATGGGCCAAAAATACCCTCTAGAAGAAAGAGACTGTGAAAATACATACTGAGGTTGCTATCTGGTACAACAGCAAATGCTCCTGCTGTGCAAATCAAAAGGTGGATTTTTTTGCTTTGAGAACATTAGTCAAATATTCCTAGATAGACAGATCTTAAATGCATGGCAGGGACTACGGCATGCATTCACTGATCAATAGTTAGACTGCCCAGAAGAGTCCAGGGGATGTGGGAAGAGAGCAAGGCTGCAGTCATACCTTAGGACTAGATTACATTCCTTCAAAGGGTGGAAATCCCACCCTCTCCTAGATCATATGGGAGATATTTAGCTGAATCACCAGAGAAGAGCAATACAGAAATTTCCAAAGCTGGAAGGAGCAAAGTTTTACAGACATCCTATTATATACAACTTACATAATTTGAGTACTTAGCTGCTTAGATAATATAGTGATAGAACTTTATAGAATTAAAAAAAGAGAAGAAAAAGCTTCTCACTGATAATGATATAGCAAGAATGGAATTAAAGTACTCAAAAATCAGTGAAATAAGTCCCATTTTCTTTCTGGCTTTATTGGACATTTCCAAGAGGGACTTAATGAAACAAAGATCATGCCTGAACTCCTATAGCCATGACATCATTTACACTGAACAGTTGACTTCTCAAAGCATCATTTTGCTTTTGGAAAGAGAAGCTTCTGGTGACAGACACAAAAGGCAAAAATCAGGGTGCAAACAGTAGTCTTAAGAGGAGAGTGTTTTTTTTTTTCCTGTTAAACTGCAAATTTACACTAACTGCTCTTGTCTGTATGCAACACCTAATGTCTTGCAAAGGATGAACAACTCTTATCTCCATGTACACAGAGATAAACACAAAAGTCTTGCACAAGTGGCTGCAGCAAAGGACTGTAACTAATGTGGAAGAGTAACCATGCAAGCATGTTATACCTAGAATTATTTCTTCTTTGATCAGAAATTTTGGGGTTTATCTATGTTACATAAAATATCAAGGACTTAGGTCCTCCACTAGCTTAAGTCGTAGCTCTATATCAAAGCACATGGAATTATGTTGATTTGTGTAAGATGATCACATTTTGTAAAACATATTTTGGCTGAGATGCTGATAGACTAGAGTAAGGGAGTAGAAGGAAATAAACCCTTTTAGAAGATAATAATCACATACTTCAGTAGGGTGAGCAAGAAAGAAGTATGTCCTGCTCAGTGAGAAATGTACCCTTTTCTCATATGCACAAGCCATGTTATCTCTAATGAAATAACAACACCTTGTGCTGCAGAAACAGGATGGAGACACACATATGAACAATATAAGGGGGGCCTTACTTCAGAAGTGTTTCCTCTGCACTGCTTCTGGTACCTTGCTCTGCTTGCTTTTCCAAAGGAGCATCTCTCTGGTGGTTCAGCTTCTGTGCAGGTAATTCAAGGACTCTTTTTCAAGTACCAGTACACCTCCAGGGATAAGGTTTATCTGAAAGGCAGGCTATACAAACGAACATACAATAAACTTACGTGGTTCCACATTTTTTTCCACTCCAAAGATTGTTCTTCCATCACCTGACACTTTGGTGCAAAATGCATCAACAGGCTAGAAGCTGGTATGTAAACTTCACATGCCAAACACAGGGAGGGCTAAGGACATCCATAGCTGAAGAGTTTCCATGATGGGAGGAGCCATATTCATGTGAGGGTGGAAAACTTGGTTTACCAACAGTCAGGCCATTTGCTTTGGAATAATTTGATCACTGCTGGCATTAGACCAATTAACAGTTTACATGGTGCAACTGTGCTTGGGGAAGCACAGGCTTGCAGCTTCCATGACTAAACACAGCTCTGAAAAGGGCAAGGAATGATAACAAAGGAATTCAAGTTATCTACTACCAGAAAGCAAACCTGATTTCCAACAAAACACCTGCCATTAAAAAATGGTTTCCCACAAATTTCTGATTTCCTTTGTAGAGTCTCATATCTAAGGTTAGCCAGGGATTAGAGGTAAGATGCCAAATGATTTTGCTTATCAACAATAAAAGTTTTCCAGTTCTTTGCAGCAATAGTTAAAAAAAAAAAAAGGTGCACATGTGGTGCTGCTCTTCCATAATTTTGAAACTGTTCTTCAGGATAATGTATTTTTGTCTCTATTTATTTCCAAGGGCTATTGCTTGGCAGGCAAAACTTTTGGACTGTGTTATGTACCAATCCTTCCAGCATCTAGGTTTTCACAGCGTTATTAATACTCAAGAACACAGGAACAGATCTAAAATAAATATCCCACTGTACTCTTCACTGGGTCCTATGCATCAGCTGCTGCACTAGGATAAAGAAATGCTTGGTATTCCACAACTGGATGGAGAACAGAGAAGGGAGAGCTCACAGTGAAATGCTGGGAGCTTGTTCGCTGTAAACAACCAGAATGGAAGATAAATCCAAGCAGTTCTTTGATCCCAGCAGGGCTCTGTTTGACTCTGCACCGACAGCCAAGAGCCCCTTTACTCCCCCATTCACCAGGCAAAAGGCATTATTGAGCCTCCCTGTCCCACAGAGGCTGGGCTGGGGCAGCATTCATCAGGCTGGGATGAATCTGTCTTGCTCTGTCCCAGGAGAGCACAGGAGGAGCAGCCAGCTCTGCTGCTCAGTGCTTACCATGACCCAGGTGCCTCAACTCCAACACTAATCATGCTTCTCTCTCTGCTGCTCCCAGAGGACTTAAAGGTGTTCCCTCAGATGCTATAATTTAGCCCTTCAGGCATCAATCCTGTTCACCCATGCGAGGACAACAGAGTATTTAAAGCTGAAACAGCCAAAGAATATATTCAAGAATCTATGATAAAAGCTACAATTTTATGCACCGTGGAGCATCCATCAAGGAAATGCACAGAGCTAGTGCCACAAAATAATTACATGTGCCGAGTCCATTGTAAACACAGCTTTTATGTGCATCAGCACAGCTGGGGACAGTGTTTAAAAATATAATTATGTAATGCATTTTATGTAGTCTGTGAGCCATTCAAGTGATACCATCGGTTCAGCAAAATTGCATGCAGCAGGTCTGTATCTATTGGCCTGAGCAAAGAAACATTTTTTCAGGAGCATTATTTTTTTTCCTGCCACAAAATAGATTTGTCTCTGATGCCTACGGGGGATTTGTGTCTCTGTCATTGGCCACTTTCTCTCCTACTTTCACCAATGAAGGAGGAAGGAATGGGGAGTTATTTTTGGCCTTGCAGCAGACTCCAGCATCCAAATCAGTTAGTTCTGAAACCACTTGGGGTGGTGCCGGTTCTGTTTTAATGG